TTATATTTAATTTTATAAATAATTTTATAATTAATTTTATAAATAATTTTATAAATAATTTTATAATTTTATAAATAATTTTATAAATAATTTTATAAATAATTTTATAAATAATTTTATAAATAATTTTATATTTAATTTAATAAATAATTTTATAAATAATTTTATAAATAATTTTATATTTAATTTTATAAATAATTTTATAAATAATTTTATAAATAATTTAATAAATAATTTTATAAATAATTTAATAAATAATTTTATAAATAATTTTATATTTAATTTTATAAATAATTTTTATAAATAATTTTATATTTAATTTTATAAATAATTTTATAAATAATTTTATAAATAATTTAATAAATAATTTTATAAATAATTTTATAAATAATTTAATAAATAATTTAATATTTAATTTTATAAATAATTTTATATTTAATTTTATATTTAATTTTATAAATAATTTTATAAATAATTTTATAAATAAATTTATAAATAATTTAATAAATAATTTTATAAATAATTTTATAAATAATTTTATATTTAATTTTATAAATAATTTTATAAATAATTTTATATTTAATTTTATAAATAATTTTATAATTAATTTTATAAATAATTTTATAAATAATTTTATAAATAATTTTATAAATAATTTTATAAATAATTTTATAAAATAATTTTATAAATAATTTTATAAATAATTTTATAAATAATTTTATAAATAATTTTATAAATAATTTTATATTTAATTTAATAAATAATTTTATAAATAATTTAATAAATAATTTAATATTTAATTTTATAAATAATTTTATATTTAATTTTATATTTAATTTTATAAATAATTTTATATTTAATTTTATATTTAATTTTATTAATAATTTTATATTTAATTTTATAAATAATTTTATATTTAATTTTATAATTAATTTTATATTTAATTTTATTAATAATTTTATAAATAATTTTATAAATAATTTTATAAATAATTTTATTAATAATTTTATTAATAATTTTATTAATAATTTTATTAATAATTTTATAAATAATTTTATATTTAATTTTATAATTAATTTTATAATTAATTTTATAAATAATTTTATAAATAATTTTATAAATAATTTTATAAATAATTTTATATTTAATTTAATAAATAATTTTATAAATAATTTTATAAATAATTTAATAAATAATTTTATAAATAATTTTATAAATAATTTTATAAATAATTTTATAAATAATTTTATAAATAATTTTATAAATAATTTTATAAATAATTTTATAAATAATTTTATAATTAATTTTATAATTAATTTAATAAATAATTTTATAAATAATTTTATAAATAATTTTATAAATAATTTTATAAATAATTTTATATTTAATTTAATAAATAATTTTATAAATAATTTTATAAATAATTTTATAAATAATTTTATAAATAATTTTATAAATAATTTTATAAATAATTTTATAATTAATTTTATATTTAATTTAATAAATAATTTTATAAATAATTTTATAAATAATTTAATATTTAATTTTATTAATAATTTTATTAATAATTTTATATTTAATTTTATAAATAATTTTATAAATAATTTTATATATAATTTTATAAATAATTTTATATATAATTTTATATTTAATTTTATATATAATTTAATAAATAATTTTATAATTTTTCTTTTGAATTTTTAAGACAATTGAATTTATGGAAGCAAATATGAAAATCGTAGAAAATTTAACTGCTTTGATCGGGAATTCTTCAATATGTGATTGCTTAATTGCGTTAATTAGTTTAAATTTTGAAGAAAAATCAACTTTTGTTGAGGTTTTTGATTAAACTAAAATTCAAAACAAAAACAAAAACAAAAACAAAAACAAATTCTTTTTTCTTAAAATATTTTATAGGAATTGAAAAAAATTGGTTTTGTTGAAAGTTTAATTGAAAGAATTGGACCAAAATTTTCACCAGTGGTAATTTAATATTTAATATTTAATATTTAATATTTAATATTTAATATTTAATATTTAATTTAATATTTAATATTTAATATTTAATATTTAATATTTAATTTAATTTTTAATATTTAATTTTTAATTTATTTTAATATTTAGATTCAAGATAATACATTGAACTTTTTACTTGAGTTATTTGAATTATATCCACAATCAACATTTATTCCTTTATCAGAACAACTAAAAACGGAAGAAATGATTAATAAAATTGTTGATCAAATATTTTCTGAAGTAAAATTAAAAATTAAAAATTAAAAATAAAAATTAAAAATAAAAATTTAAAATTAAAAATAAAAATTAAAAATTAAAAATTAAAAATTAAAAATTAAAATTTAAAAATTAAAAATTAAATATTAAAAATTAAAATGAAAAATTAAAAATGAAAAATTAAAAATTAAAATGAAAAATTAAAAGAATCGAACAACAAGTTCTCTTGAAAAAGGTTTAACGTTAATTATCGAATTTTTGTTACATTTACATCCAGTTATAGAGCCACCAGTTCCACCAATTGTATCAATAATTCTTGATAGATTAGAAGATTTTCACAAATTATTAATCCATGATTCAGTAATTATTTTTTAAAGCTTAATAAAGACAATAAAATAAAAGAAAAGAAAAGTGAATAATTTAAAATAATTTAAAATAAAAATTTTTTAAATTAGATTACTCCAAATTTCTCAATTACAATTTCAGGAAATGAACAAAAGCCATTAGGACATACAAGACTGAAAATTACAGAATTTTTCAACATTTTAACAAGAATTCATTATCCAAAATTAGAAAACAAAATGTGTGATTTGAATATCTTATCTATATTACTTGTAAAATTATTTAATTCAATTTCCAAAAAAAAAAAGAAGAAGTAAATTTTCTTCTTAAATTTTAATAATATTTTTCTTTTAGGATTTGGTTTTTGAATACAAATGGAATAACTTTTTACATAATCAAATCAAAAGTATTGTGATGACAATAATTGATAACGGAAATGAAATTTATATAAATAATTTATTCAAAGAAGCAAAATTACTTGATAGAATTCTTAGAGAATTTTCATTTGCTATTGAGAATAATTCCAAAGAAAAGTAAAAAGAAAAGAAAAAAGAAAAGAAAAGAAACAAATTTTTTTATTGATTGAAATTTTAAAATAAAATAGTACAATATTAAATCTAAAGAATAAATCGAATCAAGCTGGTTATCTTGGGCATTTTGTTGATATTTCAAATTTAATTACTCATAAGAAAATTTCAAATGATAAATTAATGGGATTTCTTGAAGAAAATGAAAAATGGACAGAATTTGAAAAGGGATATTTGAATGAAATTAATCAATTACAAAACAAAGAACTTGGGAATGAATTTTCATCATTTACTTCAAATATATCTGTAAATTTCAACAATTAATTAATTATTTATTTATTTATTTATTTATTTATTTATTTATTTATTTATTTATTTATTTATTTATTTATTTATTTATTTATTAATTTATTTATTTTATTTATTAATTTATTTATTAATTTATTTATTCATTTATTTATTTATTTATTTATTTATTTATTTATTTATTTATTTATTTATTTATTTATTTATTTATTTATTTATTTATTTATTTATTTATTTATTTATTTATTTATTTATTTATTTATTTATTTATTTATTTATTTATTTATTTATTTATTTATTTATTTATTTATTTATTTATTTATTTATTTATTTATTTATTTATTTATTTATTTATTTATTTATTTATTTATTTATTTATTTATTTATTTATTTATTTATTTATTTATTTATTTATTTATTTATTTATTTATTTATTTATTTATTTATTTATTTAAAATTATTAGGATTTTAGAGCAGAACAACAATTTTTGGATAATTTTGATGTTGATGATGATGACGATGATGATGGTATCGGAAGTGATGATGACGACGATGATGATTTTGGTTTTGGTGATGGATTTGATGATTTTGATGATGCTAATGATTCATTTGATCTTGAATTTACAGGAAAAGATGATGTAAAATTCAAATTAATATTAAAATTCAAATTAATATTAAAATTAAAATTCATTTTGTCTTTTATTTGAATTTTTTAAAGTTTGATTTAGAGGAAAATGATGAAAAAAAATATCCAAATTTTGAAAATGAACAAGAAAATAAAAAAGATGAACAAATTAAAGAAATTAAAGATAATCAAATGCATCAAGAAATTAAAGATAATCAAGAAATTAAAGATAATCAAGAAATTAAAGATAATAAAGAAATTCAAGAAATTAAAGAAAATCAAGATAATCAAGATAATAAAGATAATCAAGATATTAAAGATAATCAAATGCATCAAGAAATTAAAGATAATCAAATGCATCAAGAAATTAAAGATAATCAAGAAATTAAAGATAATCAAGATATTAAAGATAATCAAATGCATCAAGAAAATCAAGATAATCAAGAAATTAAAGATAATCAAGATAATCAAGATAATAAAGATAATCAAGATAATCAAATGCATCAAGAAATTCAAGATAATCAAGAAATTAAAGAAATTAAAGATAATCAAGAAAATCAAGATAATCAAGATAATAAAGATAATCAAGATAATCAAGATAATCAAGATAATCAAGATAATCAAGATAATAAAGATAATAAAGATAATCAAGATAATCAAGAAAATCAAGAAATTAAAGATAATCAAGATCAAAAATAACTTAAAGATGTTAAGAAAAAAGAAGAAGGAAAAAAAATAATTTCCCTTCTTCTTTCTTCTTTCTTTCTTCTTTTTTTCTTTTAAGAAAATGATTTAAACAGATATTTTTCCAATCAAAAAAAAAAATTAAAAAAAAAAAAGCAAAAGAAGATTTTTTTTTCAACAAAATTGGGAAAAGAAATAAAACTATAAAACGATTAAATTAATTTAAATTAAATTTTAAAAAATAATAAAAAAATAAAAAAAAAAAAAAAAACAATAAAAAAAAAAGTCAGCGACCGGATTTGAACCGGTGACCTCTCGATCTGCAGTCGAATGCTCTACCACTGAGCTACGCCGACTTTAATTTTTTAAATTTAAATTTTTTTATTTAAAATTATTTTTTTTTTTCTTATTTTTAATTTTTGAAAATATAATATATTTAAATTTTAAATTTTAAATTTTAAAAGGAGAAAAATAAATTTATTTTTTTTTTTCGTCTTTTTATTTAAAATAAATAAATAAATAAAAAATTAAAAAAAAAATTTTTTTTTTTTTTCATTTTTTTTCTTTTTCATTTTCCTTTTACATTTTATTATGGATCGTACAAGAATTGGAATTGTATGTTTATTAATCGATTCTAAACATAAATAAATACCAGAAAACATAATTAAACACAATTTAACAATTAAATACAAATTAAATATTAATTAAATATAAATTAAATATAAATTAAATATAAATTAAATATAAATTAAATACAAATTAAATATAAATTAAATATAAATTAAATACAAATTAAATATAAATTAAATACAAATTAAATATAAATTAAATATAAAATATAAATTAAATACAATTAAACACATATAAATATAAATTAAATATAAATTAAATATAAATTAAATATAAATTAAATATAAATTAAATATAAATTAAATATAAATTAAATATAAATATAATTAAAATTAAATATAAATTAAATATTAAATATTAATTAAATATAAATTAAATATAAATTAAATACAAATTAAATATAAATTAAATATTAATTAAATATAAATTAAATATAAATTAAATATTAATTAAATATAAATTAAATATTAATTAAATATTAATTAAATATAAATTAAATATTAATTAAATATTAAATATAAATTAAATATTAATTAAATATTAATTAAATATATAAATATATATAAATATAAAATTAAAATACAATTAAATATAAATTAAATATAAATTAAATATAAATTAAATAAATATAAATTAAATACAATTAAATACAAAATAAATATTAATTAAATATTAATTAAATATTAATTAAATATAAAATAAATATAAATTAAATATAAATTAAATATTAAATACAAATTAAATATAAATTAAATATAAATTAAATATAAATTAAATTAAAAAATTAAATATAAATTAAATATTGATTAAATATTAATTAAATATAAAATATAATTAAATATAAATTAAATACAAATTAAATATAAATTAAATATAAATTAAATATAAATTAAATATAAATTAAACACAATTAAATACAAAATAAATATTAATTAAATATTAATTAAATATTAATTAAATATAAAATAAATATAAATTAAATATAAAATAAATATAAATTAAATATAAATTAAATATAAATTAAATATTAATTAAATATATAAATATAAATTAAATATAAATTAAATACAAATTAAACACAATTAAATATTAATTAAATATAAATTAAATATAAATTAAAAATAATTAAAAACAATTTAAATATTAATTAAATACAATTAAATATAAAATATAATTAAATATAAATTAAATATAAATTAAATATAAATTAAATATAAATTAAATATAAATTAAATATTAAATATAAATTAAATATTGATTAAATAAATTAAAATAATTTATAGAGAATTGCAAGAAGAGTTAGACGTAGACAAATCAGAAGAAAAAACAAAATGCAAGCAATCTTTAAAAGAAGATTTGCCAAAAAAGGACCAACTGGAACAACAACATTTATTATTGATTGTAATAAACCAGCAGAAGATGGAGTTATTGACACCGCTGAATTTGTAATTAAATATTAAAAATATTAAAAATATTAAAAATATTAAAAATATTAAAAATATTAAAAATATTAAAAATATTAAAAATATTAAAATTAATAAAAATAAAATTATTAGGTCAAATATTTACAAAGCAAAATCAAAGTTAAAGGAAAAGCAGGAATGCTCGGAAAACATGTCGTTTTAACTGTTAAAAAACAAAACATCATTGAAGTTAAAGTTCAACTTCCTTTCCGTAAAAGTTACTTGAAATATCTCACCAAAAAATATTTCAAAAAACTTCAAATTCGAGATTGGTTAAGACCTGTTGCAACAAATAAGAAAACTTATCAACTTCGTTATTATAATATTCATGAAGATGAAGACGAAGATGAAGTTGAAGATGATGAAGATGAAGATGAAAAAGAAGAAGTTGAAAAAGAAACAAAGAAAGAAAAAGTTGATGAAAAAGTTGATGAAAAAGTTGATGAAAAAGTTGATGAAAAAGTTGATGAACAAGAAAAGGATAACCAAATGCAAGAAGAAAAACAAGACGAAGTTGAAAAACAAGACGAAAAAAAAGATGATGAGAATCAAGAAAAATAAATTCAAACAAATTTTTCTAAAAACAAGAAATCATCAATTTCAAATCAGTTTCTCAAAATAAAAAGTTTTTTTTTTTTAAAAGTTCAAAAATCAGTTAAAAAAAAATTTAATCAAATTTTAATCATAATAATAATAATAATAATTAAATCTCTTTCTTTTTTTTTTTAAATTTTCCATTTTTCATTTGATTTTGGGATAAGAAATAAATAGAAAAAACAATTCAACAAAAATAAAATTTTTTAATTTTTTTCTTTCTTTTTGTTTTTTTTATTTTCTTATTTTTGTTAATTTTTATCACTTTCTTGACTTGTTGATGATAAAATTTCATCATCAAAATCAGATTCATCTTCTTGAAAATCAATAATTTCATCAGTTTGAGGTTGATTTTCAATTTCTTGAGTAATTTCTAAAATTTGTTGATCAAGTTCAAGTTTAATTTGGTTCATTTCTTTTTCTAAATCAGAATTTTCAATTTGAGAAGAATTAAAAGAAGTATTTTGTTTAAATTTATTTTGTAAACGAGAAATAAGATTTTGGATAATTAATTCATTTTTTTCAGAATTTTGATTTTGATTTTGATTTTGATTTTGATTTTGATTTTGATTTTGATTTTGATTTTGATTTTGATTTTGATTTTGATTTTGATTTTGATTTTGATTTTGATTTTTATTTGTTTTCAGTTTTGATTTGGATTTGGATTTTTGGATAACTTCTTCAGAATCTTCCTTTTTTTTCCCCATTTTTTGATTTAATATTTCTTGTTTAATTCTATCTTTTAAAGTAGTTTTTGATCTTGGTTGATTTTCATTTTGTGTTTTATGTGTTCTTGGTGTTGGATTTAATAATGATTGAATAAAACTTGATGTTTTTTGAGGTTTTTTTCTTTCTTCTTTTTCATTAATTATAATTTCTTGAGTTTTTGTATTTTCATTTTTAATTTCTTTTTTTTCTTCAATTTTTGAAAATTGTTCAATTTTTTCAATTGAATTTTGAAGAAGTATTTCTAATTCAATTAATCCTCTTGTTAAATCATGATTTAAATAATTTATTTGTTCATTTTGTTTTGATTTAATTAAAATTTCATTTTGAAGTTGTTGAATTTCTTCTTGAATTGAATCCATTTTAAAATTAATTTAAAAAAAAAAAAAAGGGAAAAAAATGAAATTTAAATTTGGAAAAAAAAAAATTTTTAAAAATAAAGAAAAAAGAAAAGAAGAAAAGAAATAATTGAAAAAATGATTGGATTTGTTTTGGAAAATTATTGTTGGCTAAAAAAAAATAAAGAAGAGAAAAAAATCCAAAAATTTCAAAAAAAAAAATTTCAATTTCAATTTCAATTGATGTTCTTATTTTTTGGAATTGTTTGTTGATTATTTCTTTTTATCATCGAGTAATTTATGAATTAATTCTCTGAGTGGAACTAATTCATTTTTTTTGATTAATCTATTTAAACAAAAGAAATAAATTTTAATCCAAAAAAATAATTTTTCTCTTTTTTCTTTTTATTTATTTACTTGAATTCTCGAACGAAATACATAAAATGTTTGAAAGAAGTGTTTAAATGAGCTTCTTCTCCAAGTTTTGTAATATCTTGGAAATGATGATGATACATATGTGCATAAACACGAAATAATCTTTTGAAAATTGTTTTAACAACTGTTGTAAAATTTTTTGGAAAAGAATAACCTAAACAAATTGAAATTAATTTATAAAATTCATTTATGAAATTAATTTATAAAATTTATTTATAAAATTAATTTATAAAATTTATTTATAAAATTCATTTATAAAATTAATTATGAAATTTGGAATGAATTGGAAATACCCATTCTAGATGGAAAAATGTTTTCATTATCAAGAAGATCTTGAACCCAATTCATTAATCTATTAATATAATCAGGTGCTGATAATTTTTGTGGTTTTTTTTGTTGTTCATCTGCCCAATGATATTCATATTTAGGACCTGCAGACATTACTGGACATGATTGTTCTGTACAATATTCAGTAATAGTTCCATAGAGCATATTAATTTGATTAAAAAAATCGACAGCTAATTATTTGTAATTTTAATTTTAAATATAATTTAAATTTTAATTTTAATTTTAATTTTAATTTTAATTTTAATTTTAATTTTAATTTTTTAATTTTAATTTTAATTTTAATTTTAATTTTAAATATAATTTAAATTTTAATTTTAATTTTAATTTTAATTTTAATTTTAATTTTAATTTTAATTTTAATTTTAATTTTAATTTTAATTTGAATTTTAATTTTAATTTTAATTTTAATTTTAATTTTAATTTTAATTTTAATTTTAATTTTAATTTTAATTTTAATTTTAATAATAAATATAATTATAATTTTAATTTTATAAATGAATTTCAATTTTAATTTTAATTATAATTTTTAATAATAATTTGAATTTTTAATTTTAATTATAATTTTATAAATGAATTTTAATTATAATTTTAATTATAATTTTAATTTTAATTTTAATTTTAATTTTAATTATAATTTTAATTATAATTTTAATAATAAATATAATTATAATTTTAATTTTATAAATGAATTTCAATTTTAATTTTAATTTTAATTATAATTATAATTTTAATTTTAATTATAATTTTAATTTTAATTTTAATTTTAATTTTAATTTAAATTTTAATTTTAATTATAATTTTAATTTTAATTTTAATTTTAAT